TATATTAAATGACATTTCAATAAAATATTTAAAGTTGACTTGATGTAAAAGTATAAGAGATATGGTTTGAGGTGATGGTTACTTAAAATTATCTGAGTGGATGAATAGTGGATTAAAGTTGATGTGGTGTGTAAGAATAATTGATTAATATTATTTAATAATAATAATATCGATTATATTGGAATTGATAAGTTAAAGTTGAGTTAAAATGAATTTTATATATTGTACTTTTTGCAATAAATTATACAATGTGTTACTTATAAATTTATAAATTCAAAAGTTAAACTAATTGATAAATAATTTATAAATCTTATTTTATTTAAATAGGTATTTATTTAAAATAATTTTAAATGTCACCACTGGAAGCCCAATCATCTAATGGAACGAGCCGACGTGTACCGTCTACACGAGCTGAGTTAAGTTTTAGCTTACTGTATTTCAGTTTGAACTCAAGCCTGGCTTGGCTCATTAAGTAAATTAGTTACTAATCAAACTTCACCTTGCTTCATTTATTTGAATTAACCAGTGGAGCTCGAATCTTATCAGTCGAACTATAGAAAATTGTATAAAATAATTTTGAAACCTTAACAAACCAAATTGAATCAAACTCGGACCATCTAGATCGACTTGTTTAAGTCGAACTCGAACTTTAATGAGTCGGGCTCAAGTCACGGCCGACTCGTTTCATTTTTAACATCGATAACAAATAGAAGTACAATACAAATTAAAAGTAATTTATTCGTCACTTATTCATTTGCTCATAATTTAATTATTGTTTCTCTTTTATTTATTGTGCATCCTATTTTTCAAAAAGAAAAAATATTTATTTTTTTTATTTTATTTCACATACTTTTGTCTAGTGTAGTAATATACTTGTAACAAAAGCATTTCAAATCCTATCCCATATTATTTATTTATTCAAGATGTTTGCTCAGCTGGCTATTAAATTGGTTCAGCATGGATAAACAATTGTAGTCTAATAAATCTATCCACATCATTTAAACTAATAATGTTTGCATTAATTCTAAAAACACATAATAATTATTCCTCCTAAATAAATAAATAAATAAAAACTCATCAATCCCACAAACGAATTAAATAATTACTATAAGATACCCTCTCATGTTCATAATAAGTGTAGTTTTGAGAAGTTGCACAATTATTAAGAATATTTTTTTTGCCAATAATAACCTTCATTAATGAAGATAGAGATGAATGTTTTGAGAAAAGATGAAGAGTGAATATAAAAAGACGTAGCGTATTTATTAGCTAGATGAGGGTAATAAGGGTGTCTCCAATGGTTAGCTATTTGACTAGCTATTATGACGTGGACAGGGGAAAAGTAAGAGAGAGAGTAGTCACTAGCTACTAACAAATAGCTTATCTATTTCACGTAGCCCAATATTATGTGAGAGGAGTATGTGCGTCCAATAG